AATTAGCCCTCAATATACAGATTAAAATCAGGTCAATTAACAAACACGTCATTCTTTATTGTTTTCGGAAAGCTGTTTATAAACAATTATACCTGCAAGTGGAGCAAGCTTATGTCAAACTGGCTGATATTTTGGGGGGCAGGGGAGGGAGCCTCATATATAAGCTGCCATGTTTCCCTGTTTATCTAAAACATCACACCATAAAACCTGAGTTTGCTTCCTGATTCATAAAAATCACCTACTTTATTTCCGTCCTGTAAACTTGCTCCAAGGGTTTCCATTGAATATATTAGTTATTTTGGACAAAATCCCTAATTAGACCCACAGCCTGGCCACAACTACTAGGTGTCCAGAGAGCAAAGGGACGGGGGGAAGGTACTCGGGAAGTCGGAATTTGGCAGGAAAAGAACCAGCAAGCCACCAAGTGCACGGATCTGCCTGGCAAAACCAGAGGGACCTCCATTCCAACGGGCTGGAAAAATGAACTGGAACTTAACTACTAAGACACTCTTACAAGCTGTGAGGAAATCAGAGTTTAAGAAGGATCAGCCTCCTAACTTTTGGATAAACTAGTTTTTCCAGACTAACCTTCCAGATGCCAAAGAAATGTATCACCTGCACGGCAGTCAGGAAAATGGCTGGGTTCGAGGGGATCAGGTGACAGGCTAAGTAGTCCCTGAACCAACACCTTCGCATGGTGGTGACCAAGATGCTGACTCGGAAAGAGAAAGGCTACATTTAAATATAAACCTTAAAGGGGCCCCGCCGCACACTGGCCAAACGGATTAAAGTTGCCCTGCTGAATTCTCGCCTGCATTAATTCCAGTGTTTTCCTCCCAAGCACGGCAGCCTTTTCAGAGCGCTCCTGCCGAGGGAGGAGCCGACGCTGGGAAGAGCCCCACGTGTCCATCCTGCGTGGTACATCTGCAGCGCGGCTGCCGCCCACTCCCGGGACCACGGTCCCTTCTAGGACCACGGAGGAGGGTGACGCCAAAGGCAAAGCGATCCTGGCTTCTCAAATCCCTAGACGGAGAGGAGGCCGGCACCTTCCCCAACCCACAGGAAACCGCGTGGCGTGGAGACGCCCGCGGGCCGAGGCGGCAGCGCACACCGTCAGGAACAGGAACCTCAGCAATGGCTTCAGAGGGCGGCAGGCACTGCTGCTCCCCACCCCGGTCCCCAGCTGTCAACTATGTCAGCCACACGGTCACAAGCACCCAGGGAAAGCGCGGAACCTGACTCACCGAGAGGATTTTACCTCCATTTTCTAAAATTGGTATTTTGATTAAACGTGCTTCACGCTGATGAATTTCACAAAGAGAAAGGAACTGAAAATGTCAGCTGAATACTTCATCCTGGTTTTAACCGCCACCCCTTTATAAAAATACGGATCTTCCAAAGATTTTTTTTTTAATAGTAAATTAGATAAATCTGCTGCTTCCCTGTTTAATTGTCATTCATGTGAAAAGGTGTCACTGTAACAATGCTGACTTCTTCCTGCCACTTAACGTTACTGACATCACACCGTCCTTTGGATTTTTTGGGAAAAAGCTGAGATAAAGAGCAGTTTCTTTGGCAGGGGGAATTTTCATTATCCATATTAAGACTACATTATGATCAAACCGTTTCATGAAGTTTTGATCCTAAGGCTGGAAGAACAGAAACACCCTTTCAAAGCGTCTCTCCAGAGACACAGCCGGGAGACACTCCGAGGCTCTGTCTCCTGTTACATCACAAGCGTTCAGGCTCCCTCCTTGCCACCAAGTACCAATCAAGACGAACGACTTCCCACCTACAGAATTAACGCGGACAATCAAGTTGTGGACACTATCGGTAAATGCAAACCTACCAAGTCCCATTTGGAGCTCCCCTTTGGAGAAAGGTTAAGGCCAGCCACGCGCAAATGGCTCGATGCCTAATGCGAGGGGCAGGCCAGGCCCGCCAGCACTTGACCTCTGGCGAAGTTACTTCATTTATGCCTCCCTGCGCTCAGGTGCACAACGAGCAGAGAAGAGGATGCCCCCTGAGCTAAGATCCAGGCGACATGTCACAAAAGCCCCACAGGGGAAACACAGTGGGTGGCTGGCAAACAGTGCTGAGCTTGGGATTCGAAGGTGTGGCCCTGCCCGGGTGGCACGATGGAAATTCCTTTATGCCCTGGGGCTGTAAAAGAACTGGGTAGACCTGGGCCGTGTGGACACAGAACCCCGAGGACCACTGAGGCTCTGCCAGGGGTCCAGGGCCGCAGGGCTGCGTGAGCATCAAGTTGCGCACAGAACACTTTTCCCAAACACACCCAAATGCCACTGAATAAAGTCCAGATTAACGCGAAGCATGACTGCTATCGAGTGGCTTTTTGTCATCCCAGATTTCTAACCCCCCCAAAAAATGAACTTCAACTCGCCTAACTTAGGTCGGGGTCCAGACGTTTTTTGAGAGGGTCCCCGCATATTCAGAGGAATTAGGAGTCCTGGGTCTGGAGCTGCAGGTGGATAATCTGCAAAGCTCCTGGACAGCCGTTTGCGCATTATCCGTGCCCCCGGACAGAGCAGCTCAGCCACCACTCTGTCCATGGTCAAAGCAAGGGTTAAGCCTCCCCAATTCCAGGCACTGGCACTTCATTTTTGTAAGTTAATGTTTGAAGTCTTAAAACAGAAGTAAAAAGAATCTGCGTCGTACTCAATTCCCACCACACATTTCCAGCACCTCCCAGGTGACCTGCACTCACAACCATTCTGCGGCCGAAACCCCGTGAAAAGGCCAGACCGAGCGCGCCGTTCCCAGCCAGCGTCGTCAGGCGGACGGAGAGCTCGTCTTTGTGCGTCCTATGGCGGCAGTAACGCTAAATGCCTTTTAAGAATCATTTAATACCGCCTATGACTTTTATAGTACATCAAATTACAAGCTTATTCTCGTGAAAGAAAATTGTCTACGTTCTAACACAGCTACATGTAAAATGAATAATTGATGAGTGGGGGCAAAGAGCTTTGAAGACCTGGCGGTATCATACGGATCGTAAGAAATAGTGCAGCCGGCCAGCCAGTGCCCAGAACCTCAGCAACTACTCAATAAAAACAATCAGTGAAGTTGGACTGATGCCTGGGTGGGTTTTGTTTTTTTTAATTTTATTATTCCTTCTGGAAAGGAACTCTGAAAGATACTCTCTCCAACTTCAGACAAAAGGCAGTATCTCAGAAAAAAACAAAATCGGCTACTTGAGAAATTCCAAGACACTGGACAGAGGGGATTGCAAAGGTGCTACCACCAGTCTGCCCCTGGGCAAGCTGCTCAGTAACCTACGAGGGGGCGGGGGACCCTCTACGCCCGTCCAGCCACTGATGAGACCAGCCTCAGCGCCACAGACTGACACCCCAAGAGTCCCTCCACAGGGGAGCTCACCGCAGGGACCGAGGCTGCCCTGTCTGGACTCTGGGGAGTAACACCAGCGGCAGTTGTGCGTTTCAGCGACCATCCTGAACACGGGGACCCTTTCGTTCTGCAACTTTATATGGGACACTGAACTGCACTGTGAAAAACGGCCTTCGCATGCGCCTACACACAACCAGTCACTCCCTTTCTTTCCTACCATCGAAAGTTTACCATCAAATCAGGTGGCAAAAAGTTCCTAGAATACGTGAGCACCTCTTCCAGTTCACGCACTCCCTTCACCTGGAAAGCGGGGGCTGAGCCAACCGCTCCACAGTCCCCCAGCTGGGGTCCCACTCTGCCTGCTCCAACAAGGGGCTCCTCTGGCTAGGAAACCCCCTTCATCCCTCAACTGCGTTTTACTCCCTGAAAACCCTGAGCGCTTTGCTGTTCCCCCGCCCTCGTGCCTCGATTCCTTCTCCGTCTCCGGGCATCTTTTTGTTTTTTTCCTTTCCAAAACAGAGCAGTTGCTCAAAGCAGTTTACAAAGAGATTTATGGGGTTTAATTAACACAGTTAAGGTCCCAGGACCTCAGTAAAACTATGTAAGTCAGGTGAACTGGAGCCTTGGAATTCTTCTGGAGGGAAACCCAGAGGAAAGCCTACCAGGGAAGAGTCAACAGAGCGAGAAGTCTCCCTCCGTCACGCCTGGAACCCCGCTTCCGGAAGGCACACTCTTCCCTTCCAGATTCCCTCCGTGCACCTGACTTCCACCAGAGCCAGCCTGTTCATTTCCAGACGGAAATACAGGTCCTAGCACAATGAAAAACCAACAACCAGCACAGGCAGCCCAATCTGCCTCTTACATGGCATTAGTTACAAATTCTTCAGGGAATTAAAGGGAACGTGAAGCTGTGGCTTGTCCCTCCCAGATACTCCCTGAAGGGACCCTCCCTGGGCTCTGATAGGCAGCAAGTTATACAAGGCATCCCTTGCGGATTTAAAGACAAAAAACAGACATCCAGGCCGCTGGTGTCTGGTCCCGCCCACCAGGCTTGTGGTCTGTCCACAGCCCCCTCTGCGACTGCAGAGACCCCGGAACAGGAGGGGGCTACAGCACCATCCACCTCCCCCAGTCCAGCGCACCGTTTGTTGCCTGCTCCCCAGAAATGAGCTCGAGCCAGATGTGCTGGGTGGGCAGGGGGCTGAGCGAGAGCCCTGCTTCTCGTCAGAGCTAAGCCCCGGCCTGCGCTCAGTTAGCTGGCTCCGCTTCCATGGAGCAAAGAAACAGCCTGCAGAGCCGCCACGCACAGTCCTCAGCCAGGGGCGGTGGTCCCTGCACAGAGGCCGGCCACCGATGCCCCAGCAGTGTGCCGCCTGGCAGGTCAGCAGTGAAGCACACTAGGCCCAGCACAGGCCACGGAGGCCTGGACCTCGGGGCCAGGCTGGGTGACCCCCACTGTGCTCCCGTTCGCTGGCTCTCTTTGGAACTGAAGGGGTGGGGCCAGGAAAGGGGGGGTGTTCAACGGGGAGTTTTTTTTTCTTCCCAGCTGCTGATGACTGAAAAGGGGAAAAAACGCTTTCAGACCAAATGGCGTGGCTCAGCAGGCACCAGCAACACAGAGCACGCCCTACCGTAAGGGTATTTGGTGTCCAGCTTCCTCTCCGCTGTCCTCCTCCAAGGCAAGAGGTCATCGCTGCACCCGTTTGGCATGCCATTGTACCCGATCCCCACGATCTTGTTCTCTGTATTCACGATGCAGGCTCCAACCTGCAGGGAGACACGCGCCAAGGCCGGGTGACTTGGAGTGGCTTGTCAGCCCTGGGGGAGGGGGGAAATGAAGCCAGGGGCCCGCAGAACTCCAAAAGGACACGCTGCACGCCAGGGAAGAGTCTAAGAGCTCTGTCTCCTCGCTAGGTTTTGGTGATGGTTCCCACAAGCCAAAGAAAGAGCACGCCAGGCCCCGGCTAAGGCACCGGAGACACCCAGAAATTACTCTCACAGGAAGACGCAAGCAGGTAGGAGTGTGGCACATTCTCCTGGAAATCGCACGTACCTGGGAATTGGGATCTTTGCTTCTCTGTGCTGATAAGAAGGCCACGGCCATGAAATACTCGGGCCATTCCAAGTAGTCCTCGCGTTTCTTGCAGGGGACTGCACTCATGCTGGGTCTAGAAGGAAAACATGACACAACCACAGCAGAGAAAAGATTTGAGCAAATCTGCTCCTCAGTTCAACCCGGCCACACTGGAACTCGGCATTGCCAAATGCGGACAACTTCAGTTACACTTACCAGTCGGAAGTCACCAGAACATGAACTCCACAAGTCTCTCGTCTTAAGAAAAAAATTAAGAAATTAAGTTACTATTTCAGAAGTTTGAATTTGGCACACACAGCTTCACGTTCCCAAATATTACATCTATTTACAGCTTTAGCACAGGGTATTTTAAAGCCAGTGGGGAGGGGGAGATAGAACATTTATTGATCATTTAACATATTTCAGACAGTGTTAAAGGTTATATACATAACCTCACTACAGCCTCCTTCCTGGCTAACGTAGATAGTATCACCCCATCTTAGAGACTGTGAGAACTTGGGAAACTCGCCCTAAATCACACGTGATTATTTCCCATGCCAGTCGAATTTCACTTGGCACTGTCTCAACTCTGATCTTAACGAGATAATTTGTCCCTTCCCTTTCCCTTTAGTTTCCCCAGATGGGACAGAATTATCGACTTGAGTACTGAATCAAACCAGGACAAACTATGAAAACTGGCAGGCACCTGCTGTCTCTACTGCAGGGAGAACCCCTGAAGCGCCAGCAGAGTGGGGGAGGGGCCTTTTCATGAACAAGGAAGATCAACACCAGAACTGGGTAGGTAGTATCACTGAGAAGTCTCCAGAAAGCGTAGACATCAGGGCTAAAGGAAGGTGAGCCGGAGACTGGGATGCATGGTTGGGCCCGGAACCGGCATTACCCAATGATTACGTTGCCCAAATTACCAAGGGCTAAAGGGCTGGCACCATAGTCGCTGCAGGGTGCCAGGAAAATGCCTACAACTCCCACACAGGAGGAGGGAGGAGGGGGAGGAGAGGGAAAAGAGGGGCAGGAAAGGAATTTATAGTCCACCAGCCCTTGCCCCTGAAGTCTGGATTTAGGCTCCCAAGTGCCCCAAACCCAGGTGCAGAAAGAGAAAAAAGACCAGTCCAGGGAGGTACCCCTAACTCCCCGCGGGACAGAACTCACGCTCCTCCCACCCACTCGATTCGATCCCTGGAAGAAACCACGCATCCTCACCGCACCCGCGGGCGCAAAAAGTTACTGTCACTTTCAGAGTCGCGCGTCCACCCTCTTCTCCGCTCCCCGAGTAGGAAAGCCTCCCAGAGGCCACGCTGCCCGCCGCGGAGTTAGCAGAGCAGGCTTCACCGAAAGTGGGGCGGCCTCCGGGATCCGCGTCCCACACCCCGAGCTCCAGCCGCGCCACGTGGCGCGCGGAGAAGTCCCCAACCCGGCCCCGCTCGGAGACCTGCAGGCCCGTGTTCTTTCCCGCCGCGCCGGGGAAGGAAGTCGGGAAGGGAGGCGGGGCCGCCGCGTGGCCGGAAGGTGTGAGCGGCGGGGCAGCAGCAAGCTCTGGGGAGGGGGCCGGGCCGGCGCGCGCCCGCGGCCCGGGGGGATCGCCTCCGCTTCCTGGTCCCTGTGGCACTGTTAGCTCGCTCAGCCCACGGTGCCGCGGGAGACCTGCAGGTTTTGCCGCTGACTTTGCGCTGGAGGCAGCGGGGCCCCTGGTCTGAGACCTACGCAGGGGCCCCGCCTCCGCGAGTCTCAGGGCCCCAGCAGCGTTCGTGGTCCCCGGGGTGGCGCCGTGCGGGCCTGCTCGCGGCTGCTCCGAGGATCTGATTTCAGAACTGCTGCATTTTTCGGATCTCTGAATCCGAGGGTCCCGTCATTTCACCATCGTTGTTGATGGTGAGATGTTTTTTCTTCCCCACCTGAATCTACCATCAACTAAACGCTCTTGCTAGAATTACGAATATACAGCATGTGAATAAAAGGCGATCTGGACGAGTCTGGTACAATGAGACTGCAGGGCCACAAAGTGAGGAGACCTGGTTGGGGCCCTGGAACGGGCTGCAGTGAGGCTCTGCCTCCCTGGGGAACACTGACCCCGGGCAGCAGCTTCACAGTTTATGCGGGGCTGGCTCCTCTGCCTAGAAGATACATTTGCATGTGTGCTTTGCATGGCCAGTTTACCGTTTCCACTCAAATTTTGTGGAAGGGCCTGAACTGTGTGCTAAAATCTGCGCCCCCTGCGCAACCCCCGCCGCTCTCTGCACACCTGTCTTGGTAGTTTCCTGATAACATTTGCCAGCTATAAGACTGCGCTTGTTTTGTTACAGTTGTTTGAAAGATCAGCAGAACATGGCACAGGTCAAAAGGAAAGAACTTGAGTGATATTTCTGAAGTCATATGCCCCGAGGAAATAAACCTGCTTTTCTTGAACTTCATTATCCTATTAAGACATCAAGCTCCTAAGTCTGATGGAACATCAGTTCCGGCACAGAGACTGAGAAAAGCGCCCCCTCTTGTGCACGTGGGGCAGGAGGAGACAGCCAGCGCTCCATAAATAATAGCTACCGTAATAATCACGGGTCTGATCGGCACATCCCAGATCTGAGCCACTAATCCGAACAAAAGCTTGCTAACTATATTAATTTAGCCTAACAGAGGAAGAATGATGAGAGTAAACAGTTGGTTCTATCTAATTTCTCACTGCACCAGACACATCATTCTTCATCTCCATGGTCCAGCCTGTAGATGCAATAATTAAATCATGTACTGCAGTCGGTGGATGCCGGGAAAGCGAAGGGGAAAAATACTTCATCGTTAACTACAGATTTTTTTTTTTCCTTGATAAGACTCAGGCTTGAAAGAGCTACATAGATTAAGATGATGATTTTTAATGTCAAGTTAACTTTACTCAGCTGTCTTGTTGTCACTGAAATTTATTACATGCTGAGCTCCTCTTTCCCCTCCCCCTCCCACATCCATTGCTCGGTCTCTGTCACAGTCATCTGTAGTATTGGGGTCTTCGTAGATCCATTTCTCTTCTTATCAGCCTCCAGCCTATACATCACCAACTGCTGCTGGTCCTTCAACCACAACATCATTAAGCTTCCTTCCTTCCTCTGCTCAGTAAGGACTGTCATACATAATTTAGTTACTTCTCATCATTCTCCATTTTGGTCAACTCACGCACTCCCCTCCGCAATAAATTCAGGGCCCCGCTTGCTACGAGCACGGTACCCTGAATCTTCCTGCCTTTCACTGAAAGTCTCCCATCGTGTAGGATGACATCATTCTCAACCCAGGGAACCCTCCCGATTCATAGTGTCGCAACTTGAGGTTTCAATTATTCAGCACCAGCAGCAAACCCAGGCAGCCAAGGAGGGGGAAAAAATGCATTTCTTGGTTTATCTTGCTCGTTAACACCTTGTAACTCCAAGTGTGGCGGTAGGTGTTAAATCTCTCCTGTTGGTACCTTGTATGGTTGGTCATTGAGGATCTCTCTCCCCCAAGCACCGACCCAGGCCCACTCTGTTCCCAGTGCGTCAAGGGCCAGAGCAGGGCTTCCCTCAGGGGTGAGCGCAGCGAGACACTTGCAAGGACTGTCCTCTTGGGCGTTGGCTCGGCTCCCCTTTTACAGACCCGCAGGTTATCTGTGTCTGATCTGTGACGTAACCTGGAGTACATTTCAGTGCCTCGAGGGTGGGGAATCCAGGTTAAAAACAGAAGTCAAGGGAAGATTCGTTTGGGCTGCGTCAGATGGGCTGTGAGGGCGCTGGTGGACGCCTGCTCTGCAGGGGTGGCGGACCGCTGTGCCCATGCCTCCGCTCAAGCAGGTGCGGGTGTGGCTTGGCTCTGGGAACGGAGGCGGGGCTCTGGATATGCGCCTGTCCATCAAGTTTGTCTGGCGAGAAAGGGGGCAGGCGCTGGAGTTCAACCGGACTTGGAACTCTAATTCCACTTGTCACCACCCAAGTGACCTCCAGAAGGTAGTTACCTTCTTGGAGTCCTTGTCCCCTCATCTGTAAGTCAAACATGTTCATTCATTCAATCATGTTTTGTTAATTCTCTATGTGCTAAGGGCTGTGAATAACAACACGGAACCAAATAAACCAGTCCTTGTCCCCACAGGGCTCACGCCTCACACCCATTCCTCAAATAAGTGCTTCGCAAAGGAAGCTTATTGCTGGCTCGCCTAAGATGGCAAGGGCCATTATAAGATAAATCGCCTCTTGGAATAGCTTTGTTCTTAATCTAGTGGTTGTCGGGACCAAAAACTTCCTTTCTTAGTCCAACAACTCTACTTACAGGCAAAGTACCACTTTTACTGTTTTTCAAAGGAGTAAGTGTTTCTGTTTCCATGCCGGAATCCAAACTCGGAAGAACTGTTTATTTTTTTTTAAGATGTTATTTATTTATTTTTAGAGAGTGGGAGGTAGAGAGAGGGAGAGAAGCATCAATCGGTTGCCTCTCAGATGCTCTGAGACCAGGGACCAAACCTGCAACCCAGGTCTGTGCCCTGACTGGGAATCAAACCTGTGACCTTTCACTTTGGGAGATGTCACCCGCCCACTGAGCCACACTCATCAGGGCTAGAGAGAACTGGTTAAATGTAAGAAAGGGCATGACTGGAAGATCTGCTACATCAGAAAAGAAGTCAAAGAAGATTCTAGAAAAAAATTAAGTATATGCTCTTGTCAGTACATTTTTATCTGTGTTAGAACATGAGGGAAGTTGTTCTTGTTCAATGAAAGACATATAGACTGTAAATTCATATGACAGAATACTCCTAGATACCTAAATAGATACCTAAATAGAATTTCTGTTAGGAGTTGAAGGACCCAATTGTCTTTATCATGACACATCTTCAAAATTACAATGAAGATCAATGAGGAAGTGTTAATTCAGCGTATGCATAGAGCTGGGTGCTTTGCTCTTATATATCAATAAATATCTGTTACCTAAATAAAGGAATTAAGAGACAATAGTTGTTCTCTGTCAATGCATAAAGAGAAGTCTTTATCTGTAAATTGTGATTATACCTCTGCATCTGCTTCCTGCTTCTCATTGTGTTTAATGGACCTGGAACGAAATTTAACAGGTGAGGCTTGGGCATTGGTGGGTCAGGAAGCAAAGACAAGCAGAGTTGTTTTCAAGGCGGGCGCTGCCATCTCAGGCGAGGAGCCCCGTCTTGGCCGACAGACGGCATCGCGAGTGCCAGGGGGAGGCAGCTGGAAGGCTGCATGCTGTTCCGTGGTATTTTGCTTCTCCCCACAACTGGCTTTTTCTCTGCAGAGCTGAACTTGTCGCCTCTTTCATACATAACTGGTTGAAGTTGATGGAAATTACATGTCTTATCACTCCTTAAAAGAAAAAAAAAACATAAAATGTAAATCTGAAAGAAATGGGCAATTTTCTTGTACCACTTTATATTTCTGTGTAAGTTACCAAGTGCCAATCATTCGTACTTTTTAAAATTCAAACTTGTCAAGTAGCATGTAAGCTTTCAGTGTTGTACAAGAAAAGATAATGCTTCGCATGGAACCGTCACTTCTGCCGGCACTGCAGAAATGCCTTACCAAAAGGGAATTTATCAGATTGCTGGCTTTACAGCAATGTTAACGCTGTCATTAAGTTGTCCCCTCTCGTCTGGGGTCACCATGGAATCTGCTGAAAGGTAATCAACATGATGTTGTGGTTCTGGGTATAGAATTCTTTGCTGACCTCAAAGCTCCCGCTACTTTTGCAGCATATATTTTAACTGATGTAACAAGGTGAGTGCCCAAGAATCGCTGTAACGAAAACCCCCGTTAAATCGTACTGGGACGTTAGTGGCCATCATACCCTGGACGACACGTTGTGCCGTCCATCGGCTACTTGGAGAGCTCGCAGCGGGGAAACTTCTACAATGAGAAAGCAGGAATCCGGTGGATATTTCAGTACCGCAGCTCACTCTGCGCGCCTACATCGAGGGGAATATCTGGGGTCCTGCCATGAGGACAACGATCAATGCCATAACGCGAAACATCGCCCTCTACAGGCACAAGCAAACAAAATGAGGAAGGAAGCCCAGCCTATTTGAATAACCATTGACACTGTTCTATGCTTTGACGCAGGAGGTGGCAGAGAACAACACGGCGGTGACACGGTCAGGGCCTTCCAACAGTCTTGTTGTGACCAACCTCTGTCTGTTGCTGTGTCTGACAGGCAACCCGAGATGACGAAATGCAGGGCACTGTCAGCCACCAGACATTCTGAGCTACTTTGATGGTGATGCTATCTCCCAATGAGCCCTGCATTGAGCTAAATATCAACCAAAGAGCCTGGAACAACACTCGTGAAATCATCCTAATGAGAACGGGAGAGATTTACTAGTTCGGTCGTCACAGTAGCCACTGTCCTACAAGAAGAATCGATGTCTACACGGTGTTAGA